TCTGTCATCTTCACCAACCATTCCTCCATTGTAGGTATTGCCAAATCTTTCCATCTTTGTGTATACAATAATCTGATATATAAAAACAGTGTTCCATGACTCTTTTCTAACTGTTTATCCATCAGTCCCAGGAAGAAAAGTTCTACTTAATTTTGAATTACAGATTCTATTATACCATTTGTTTATTAAACTATCAATGTCTCTCAGTGGTTGACAATAAAAAATTCAGTGGTTGATAAAGTGTACTTAAAATACCTTTGTGACAATGGAGGCACATTAAAATGTCTAGAAATAGTGAGCATTGTTTCTGTGGCAGTATTATCCAACAATGATAAAAATTATGCAAATATCTTGCAGCAATACCTTCTCATGTAGAAACAAATGTAGGTTATTCTGTAAATTCTGTAAATTTGTTTTTATTCTCATGTTCTGTTTAAATCTTGTACATACTTACAAGGAGGTAACTTCTACTGATTAATCCATATGCATTTTACTAATCTACCCATTTATTCTGGGTATAAACCCAGAGCTGCTTCACATCAAGTTTGTTTTCCTATACTCAGTAAAACAGTTTGTTACAATTCTGGAGTGGAAACTGGGAAAAGTATCATCATGTAGCTATTTATTTTATTCACAAATATGCAATGCTTTTTAAACAAGATATGTTGAAAAGGTAGATTCTGACTATTTCTGCTCTTCAAAAGCATCTTACATCATAGTTCAAACAAAGTAAAAAAAAAATCCTGGAAGAAACATATTTGCTGCCTGACAAAATTCTATTTAAAATGAACATGGCTCAAATACAATAAAATTATTTGATTTACCAATAAATCTTAGGAACTATTTAAGGTCCCAGAAGGAAATGTCATTGGATTTTAAATAGTTTAGAGGTTATAAATACAAACTTCAGTTTATGGCTCCAGTAAACAATTCAATTTGCTGACCGTTCCTTAATCATTTCTAAAAGCAGTGATAGTCTGTGAAGAACCTAATGTTGTCTAACCTTTAACTGTGTCATGCTGAGCAGAAACCATGTATCATTGAGCCCTGACTTCAGCTGTTTAAACAGATGTTGTGTAAGTGACAATCTTTCAATACTCCTAGCCCAAAATGTCTGTTTACCTGCCTATATAACCCCCCCCCCCCACAAAACACACACACACACACACAACCATAGTATTCTGGAAACAGAGAACTTGCATGTTTGTGGATGTGCTGGAATTAAATCTGAAAGGACAGAGGGAAGAGACATAGCTTGGAATAGGCACAGTAGAGAGAGATTAGCAAGAGCAGAGCAAGAAAGCAAGCAGTCATTATTAGGGAAGATTCTAAACATATGGAAAAACCAGAAGTGCTTATCCATGAAAGACATTTCTTATATTATACTGCCAGATGTGGGTAAAGAATTATAGAGCTTCTAATAGTAAAATGACAAGAGAAAGCTTATGTGGACCAATCTCACGTGCAAAAAATTCAGTGCAGTAATGTACTTTTTACATTGAATGGTTTTCAGTTATTAGAAATTCACAGTCCTGAAAATAGAAATTTAATTATACTAGCTAATTGTTCATTATAATGATTGAACATTACACAAGATAAATTGAATAACCAGAAAGGAACCAATATCAATAAAATCTATTTTTTTTCCAGGCACCTATTGCTAGGAAGCACATATTTATGCCAACAGCTGGCATGATATATGAGCATATTAATATTTAATGTCTTCATTTTAAGTATTTTCATTCCTTCTTCTTAGGCTGGATCCAGATCATATTTACTAGGTAATGAATTCCACTGCATTCTGTGAGACTTACTATTAAATAAACATACATAAGATTTATGCTATTAAAATCTAAATAATATAGGTAACTACTAAAAATATGAGGAAGGGTTACATACACTGCCTTAAGCTCTTGAATGCAAAGGATATTAAATTGTCAAGAAATATTTACAAACATTTCAATTAAAGAAATTCTAAAAAGCTCTATTTGTTTGAGTAAGATATTTAAACCATATTAAGAGATGTTTCATCCAAGTCCTGAAACCCAATGGGAAGTGAGCATGCTCAGTGGGCCTAGAACGGAGCCTTTTTAGTGACACACAGAGAATAGTGGTATGGTAGCAGAACTATGTAGAGGAACCCAAACTAAAACATCTCCAACAGAATGGGTTATCACCTTCTCCAAGTAAGAATAAAGAAAAGTCAAGCAATTCTTGAGAACACAAGGAAAAGCTAACAACTTTTCTGCACTATCAGCTATGGGAGCCATTGATTTCAATCAAATGCAATTTAGCACAATCCTACAAAGAGCAAGAATAACTGGAATAATTGACATATCTTTCATCTTTTGTTTGTGGCTCATTCAGGTTCGATATACAAGTACTTTAGAATACTTCCAAAATGTATTATGGAATCTCATAATAGAATTATTACATGTGATTTTATTATATTTAGCAGTTAGATACCCTATACTGGTTGCATATGACAATATTTAGCAAAATAAATATCAGGAGCTTGGCAGTTTCATGGATAAAATAATTACATTTGGAAGCAATTATTTTGGAGAGCTGAAGCCAAATAAAGTAGACTGAGCTGCTTGGAATACTGGTATAAAGTAGTTTCCTCTATTTCTAGGAATTAAAAAGGAAATAAGAACATTATTTTCCACTGTATTTTCTGTAACTTAAATCCAATGTTCTGCATCTTGCACTTCCATGATGACAGAGGACATGTTACAACTTAATACTTTGTGACCACTTTCAATCTCCTCTTCTCAAATCTCAACACACTCATCTTAAGGCATGGGTAGTGGGACCCTGAAAATGAGCACTGCACACTCAGATTTTGTTCCACTTCTAAATTCTAAGTTAATTCCACACCAATAAAAGAATAATGATCTTATCTATATTAGAGCACAGTTGGGGGGTGCAGTGTCATAGATGTTATATGCTTTCCTTTCCTTTGACACCCCCTTATTCTTTGTTATACTTATTTCAAAGAGAGTTTCTGCTTTCCCTGCAAGATGTGCAAGCAGAGATATCTAGGGGAGGCTACTAAAAAGTGTTTCCTGGAGGAGGCCCTTGGAGTTTCTGGCTAGGCTTTCCCCAAGTAAGTCCATACCTAAGTGTCTTCTCCCTGGGTTATCTAAGCATGGTTGCTGCTAGACTTCATGACTAAGTTAGCATGCTGTGTTTCCACACCTTTCTTGTCAGAATGCTCCACAGGAGAGTGCCTGCTTTCCATGAAAAACCAACTGCTTAACCTAGCTGGTGCTTGGGAAAATGGCTGAGGAGTTGTCTTTTTAGTGAAATATACTGATACTTGTTCAAAGACAATTATTTGCATTGTATTTAATGATTGGTCAGCTTGGAAGGTGGGGTGTCCTGATGATAAAGAGATAACATATGAAGCAGTTTTATGCTTAATTTTTGATCTAGCATTATGTAAACTTTAGGTTTACATTCATTTTACTAACTCAGCTATCTTTTTAATTTTTACACAAGTAAAGAACCAAGAATAGGTAATCAACTTCAGTCTGATTATCTACTTGTTAATTGCTGTAGCAAAGTTCACTGCACAGCAAAGTTTATTGCCCAGCTGATATTTTGGCAGTGTTTGCTGGATAAAGAAAAAAGAATTAGCTATCAGTGCAGGTCAGTTTGTTCAATCAGTTGTTTTCTGTAACATTCAACTGGAATTTCCATTCTTGCTAACTTGAGACCATTGTTCTGTGGCCCATACTCTGGGATGATAGAGACACACCTTAATAGTAAGAGTAGATGGTGGTTTGAAAGCAAAACAGCTATCTAGATAGGCAGTGATCTCCCTGTCACTGGATGTGTTCCAGCAAAGGCTGGAGAGACATCTGTCAGAGATGCCTTAATCTGGATTTCTGAACTGAGCTTGGTCTCAATACTTAAATGGCTCTTTCCTATGCTACGATTCTGTGATTAATTCTGGCACTTCTCCAATGGGACTGTTGCAATTTTGCTCTAAAAATGTTTCTTTATAAACTTAAAAACTGGCAAATTTGAAAATGCTTAGTCTTTATTTTGTCAACATGCTAACATTTTTTCCCAGCTGTTGTGAGCAGAATCCCTCCATAAAACTGGAAAGCAA